AAACAACGCAAATGTCCATTAAGAGTAGAATTTATTAATGAATCATATGTCGTCATATATGTATAACCCAGCAACAAGAATGAACAGACGCCCCACTGCAACAATGTGGGTGAATCCCACAATGTTGAAAGAAGCCACACACTACAAAAGCACGTATTGCATATTTTTATTTGGTCAAAATTCAACAGCAGGCAAGACGAATTGATGGTGACGCGAGTGGGGATGGGGCACCCTGGGTGAAGGGAACGGCCTCTCAGTCTGGGCACTCGCTGCCATCACTCACCCTCTGTGCTTCTGCGTGATGTGCTTTATAATTGGACAAAATATTCGCGTAAAGAAAGGTGTCCTCCAAGTAAAAGAGCTTAGATGCCCCCTCCTCTATCCCAGATGGGCCAAGGTAACTGAGCCACACAGTGGAGGGAGCGTCCTCTGTGTGTTTTGCTTTTCTTGAGGATACAGCCACCCTGCTGTTTGGGGACCTTTCTCCTGGGTTCCTCTTCCCGTCTTGGGTGCCGGTTGACGTTTGAGAAGCAAAGACACCAAGGATCTCCTTCCTCCTGCCTGGGCCTCATGTCACCTCAGCCCCTCCTGGCCACACACTGTTGATTCCTGAGCACTGCTGCTCCAGTGTCCTGGCCTCCGCCTGCCCCCACCACGTCCACGCAGCAAAGGCAGGTGGCCAGGCACCAGGGGAACGTGGTGCTGGGGCCTCCCTGCCCCACTGGCAGGGAGCAGCCAGCCTCTGCATCCAGAGTGCCCCTCACGCTCTGCTCCTGTCCAGTGAGCTGTGGTCAGAACACCCAGGCTGGCTGCCTGCCCACGTGGGTCGGGGACCACACGGCTCCCAGGGTCACTCAGGAGTCCTGAGCGGTTTAGGCCTCTGTCAGAGAAGACACAGTGATTGGAACGTTCCTGAGACCGTTTATGAGACCTCTGGGCCTTTTCTGGGCCAAAAGTGATCTCACTGGCCTCAAACTTAGCTGCTGGGCGGCTGGCCAGGGTGGCCCCTCCAAGGGCAAGTGTTGCGGAGCTGGAAGCCGATGTCGGAGCACCTGTGCGCGCGTTCGTGCCCCGGGTACTCAGGGCATTTCTGGATGGCTGCCAGCTTGAGTTATTTCACCAACTCCTGCCGCACCACCTTCCTCTATCTGGGGACCCTGGGGATCATTTCTGCTGGAATTAAGCAGGAGCCACACCACCCTCTCCCTCAGGCACAGGAGGCCACAGATGTGGGCGTATATCCGAGCTCCGTGAGCCCCGGTCCTTGCTTCTGTGAGCAGATCCAGGTCCTGCCTTACAGTTTTGGGCAGTGTAGCCTCAGGAAAGCCATGTGCTGCAGAGGGGATTGTGTGGCCCTGCCCTCAGGACCACAGTCCATATGCGTAGAGGAGGCGCCGGGGCTCCTGACATCCTCGAATCAGCACCTTCTGAGCCGGTGTTCCCAAAACGTGGTAGGAGAGGAGACTGAGGAGGCGTGGACAAGTGTCCACTGGGCCCTGCGCAGGGGCAAGGTCACAGTGGGGGCTATGCAGAGCAGGAGGCTGCGTGCTCCTGTGTGGGCATCTGGGGTCGGGCCTCTGCTTGGTGGGAGCACTAGGAGGCCACCGGGGTGGGTGTGGCCTTAAGGAGCACACATGGCACCTGAGCCAGGCTCCCCTGTCTGTGCTCACAGCTATGTGACTTTGGGCGTGTGACTAAAACCTTCTGTGCCTGGAGAGGATCATAGCACCGGCCTCGGGATGGTCCCCCGAGCTTGGTGAATGTCTGCAGGGCTGCCGGCTCACGGCCTGGTCCGTAGCAGCCCTGGAGGACAAGTCCGTCTCCCTGAAGAAGCGAGCCTCCCGCCCTCAGTGTTCCCGTGCACTCCCTGTGCCGGCACCCACGATGGTGAGCGCGGCCCGGGCGGGAGGAATCTGCGCTGTGGTCCCACGCAGGCCCCACGCCTTCTGCAGCTGAGCCACGGCGACACCCAGGACCACCACCTGGAAACCAGTCCGTCCTTCTCGTTCAGAAACTGCTTTTCTAGGATGCGTTTTTGTGAGTTGAATAAATTTACGGCACTTCACATTTCACTTACAATTTTGACTTCTAAAAAATATTTTTGGTTGGTAACTTTGGTTTCTCGTTGAAAACACTTGCCTATTTGTGATACTGGTGTTCCCATTGCAATGTAACGTAAAGATTTTTATATCTTAGAGCTTTTTAAACTCGAGTCGTGTACACACAGAGTGAGTGGAAGCGCCCGCACGGGCGGGCCGGGCCGCTTCCCAGTGGTGTTGGGAGTGCGTGGCATCTTTTCGTGGCTGCAGCGTCAGCCTGCACTGCCTGGGTGTGAGATAGACGTGCACCTAATGGCGTGAGTAGCTGGATGTGGGGGGCTCTGGGCACTGCAGACGGTGAGGCAGGAGCTTGGCCGCATGGGAGGCAGAAGCTCCGTGGCTGGAATTGAGTGTGTTTGGGTCACAGAAGTCTGGGGGGGGTGGTGTTCTGTGTCCAGCAGCTCTCACACGGCAGTCGTGATCGTGGTTGCTAGTCCTAGCCTGTTATGGAGTACCGAGGAGATTCATTGGCTGACTCAGAGGCAATCACCTCCACCCCAATCAGGGCTCTATTCCAGGGGAGAAACTGAGTCAGGCTTTGTGACTCTGCAAAACAGTGATGCCGCTCAGCCAGCGTTTCGGGTTGCAGCACCCTCAGTGGCTTCATTTCACTCTCACAGTAACCCCCAGGGGTGGATTCTGTGACTATCCTCGTTTCTGCAGAAAAGGAAGCAGAGGTGGTTCACAGCTGAATCACCTGCCCAGGGCGATGCCTTTGCAGGGCCTGGCAGAGCCTGGCAGAGCCTGCCAGCATCACAGAGGCAGTGAGCCCCTCTGGCCCGACCCACGGCCCCTCAGCAGGGGCTCTTTAGCAAACCCTGCAGATGGGCAGCTTGGCGGGTTTCTCAGACCCCCGCTTCGGGACTTGAGAGTCCTTCGCTGGTCTGAGGATCGTGTGCTCAGTGGAAATTGATCATTTGGGCTCTTCTTTCCTTCACTCTGGGAGGAGTGGGATTATGTGCTTAGCAGAAGTCAGTCGTCCTGGGCTCTTTTCTCCTCCACTCTAGGAGGACTAGGAGCCAGAGAGCTCTGGGCCCGGCTCCCTGGCTTGAAGTCCAAAGGCAGCTCTGACCGCACCGCCTGGGGCAGGAGGGAGGGGAGCTGGCTTCTGTCTCTGTAACCTGGCGTATCCAAGGTCCCGTTGTGGAAAAGGGACGTTTAGCGCCTGTTTCTGGAGGGTAACTTGTAACTCTGTGCCTCTCCCAAGGGAGCACGCAGGTCTAAACGGGGGTAAGATTTCCTGTACCTACTGCATCTCACAGTTCAGAAAAAGTCATCAAAGTGCTCAGACTCAGGAAGTAAATAAGGAAATATGAAAACATTATTTACTTCTTTTTTTTTTTGAGACAGTCTCTCTCTCTTGCCCAGGCTGGAGGGCAATGTTGCCATCGCAGCTCACTGCAGCCTCAAACTCCTAGGCCAAGCAATCCTCCCACCTCAGCCTCCCAAGGAAGGCTGCACCAGCACACTCAGCTAATATTTGCAATTTGTGTAGAGATGTGGTCTCGTCATGTTGCCCAGGCTGGTCTTGAACACCTGGACTCCAGTGATCCACCCACCTTAGCCTCCCAACGTGCTGGGATTACAGGTGTGAACTACCATGCCCGGCTGATAATATAACAACAACAACAAAAATCTTAGCTCCGTGAGAATTAGGCCAGATCAGAAAATGAATTCTGTTTGTGCCCCCACAGCTGTGAAAAGGAGGGGCTGACTCCCGTGCGTGCAGCAGTCTAGTGCTTTGGATGAAAGCAGATGTTTATTCATGCACTTACCCAGAAGGTTTCTGCTGTTACTGAATCAAACTTCCCTGTATATGAGGAGTTGTTCACTATCGGGTGCAGACAGGGACACAGAAGCAGCAGCAAACACAGCCACACACCCACGCACAGTCGGGGGTCGCTGCCGTGTCTTCGTGGTCCTGGGGGTTGCTGTTTCTGTCTTTTAAGTCCGCGTGTCAGAAGGTCTGAGACATCTGCTTAAGTCCCTGGCTTCATTAATGATGCTTACAGCGTGCAGAGCGTTCTCAGAGACTGCATAATTGATCTGTGCCCTGTAGAATTCTGATTTTCGTGTAAACCCAGGATGTGTTCAGGGACTCGGAAATCAGCAGTTCCAGCCCTGCCTTAGGCGTGCCTGTGTGGTTCTTTCTGCTGTGGATTGGCTGGTGGTAGCAGCTGCTGGCACCACGCAATTGGCTTGGCTATGGAGTGAGCCCGCGGAAGAGGCCTCTCCGCCTCTACTCCGTGACTCAGGCTCCCGCCGCCAGCCTCAGCCGAGGACGGAGGCTGTGGTTACACAACGCGCAAGTGTGGTCCTGTCACAGATGTGGCTGTCGCAGAGAGTGCTGCCTGTGCTCCTGTTTCCAGCAGATGCCTGGGAACCTTTGGACGTCTTGGGGATTTTCTCCCAGCACCATGTCAATGCCGCCACGAGCAAATCCTTGACAGGGACCGGCACGGGCACCTCAGATGCCAGGACCAGCGTGATGTATGCGCCATAAGACTATTTTGGAGGGTTTGGTCAGCTGGTCACTCGGGAAAGGAAAATGACTCGGCTGTACTGTGGAATGTAAAGTGACTGACTCGGGAGAGGTGGTTCTGCCTGGATGTGCGAACTGAGGGGGCTGATGTCAGGCGGAGCGATGAGAACACACTGAAAGTGTCTGCCCTTCCTGAGATAAGAGCAGGTTCTGGGACTGTGGGGCTGGGGCTGCAGGGGCCCCCAAGGAAACGCCGAGCTCTGCTGAGACCCCCGTGCGGCATCACTCTCACCTGGTGTTGCAGAAGTGGCATCATGAATATGGGGGGACCACCTTCCAGGGAGGTCTTCCTAGGGGGTTCGTGGGCGGCCGGCTTCCCACCTGCACACATTAACGGCGGCGTCTCTTCCTCACTGCAGCCTGCAGGACGCTGGCATCGGGTTCATCCTGGTGATAGACCGGCGGCGGGACAAATGGACTTCCGTGAAGGCGTCCGTCCTGCGCATCGCGGTAAGTGCCACCAGGCTCTGCCCTGCGCCCAGCCCCTCCCTGGGCTGCGTGACTGCAGGGTCCTCTTCCTCTGGGTGCCTCGCGCTGAGGGGGACAGAGCCCAGCCCCGGCAGGCGGAGGCCGGCGCCAAGGCCCCCTGCTTGGGCTCCCGAGGAGCTGGTGCCTGTGTGTGGGTTTTCGCAGATGGGGGAGCTTTTAGGGAGCCCAGGATGACTTGAAAACGATTTCCTCAGGCAGGGCAGCCCATCTGTTTCTGAACAGCGCGTCTGAGATGCTCAGGTTGAATCTGCACTCTCTCTTTCATGAAACACAGCATGCCTGGCTAGGCGGCGGTGGGTGTGTGCAGAGACACTCCAGCCTGCAAGTTTGAAGCAGCCCTGCACAGCTTTTCTCAGTGATTTTCTCCTTTCCAAATCGGGCCATCTATCTTTAGCTGTGACACGATGCGCCGCCACCGCCTCCCTTTCCCGGTAACCCAGCCCTGCTTGGAGCTCTCCTCCCTCCCAAGGACCTTCCCATGGCGTCTGAGAGTTTGCAGATTCTGCACCCTGCCTTCCATGGCAGAGGAGGAGCTGGGTTTGCCGTTGGTTTTAACCCAGAGTAACCATTTAAGAGGAAAGAGATTAAGTCAGCAGAAAGCCCCCAAGTCTTATTTTCGTCGGTAGCTCTCACCCGTATGCACAACCCCGGCGTGGAGCATTTCTCACCCACACTCTCTGTGCCTGTCAGTCCAAGTTTCATTGCAGCCAAAGGACCAAAAATAAGAGGGCTGAGTCAGCTGAGTCAGCTGTCAGTCTTTGGGGTGAAGCATCTCCTTGCGCCCCCACCGCGCCCCTGCCCCTCACCGCGGCTGGCCCCTGTTCCCGACCCTGCCCCAACCTGGCGCACGATACCTATGGCATCATTATCGGGAAAAAGTCTGCCTGTCTGCCTGGAGGTGACCTGGGACCATGGGTCCTCAGCTGGGACGGCACAACTGCTCCAAGCATTCCCCAAACCCTGGTGAAGTCCGATTCTCCTGGCCTCTCCCAGGTCCTGCGTTCAAACCATCTTTGGGTTCCCCGGCCTCTAGTGGCTGCCGCGCTAAGGTTCTGGGTAGAAAAAGATGCCGTCCCTTTCCCTGCCCACTCCCTCTTTCCTTCGTCTTTCACAAGAACTAGAGGCCCCACCTCTGTCCTGATGCCCACAACCTTCATCGTTTTGGCAGAAGCCTGTCACTGGGCCACTAGTTCTCACCGGAGTCTTTGGAATGAAGTGTCTCTTTGCACCCTCACCGCACCCCCTGCCCCTCACCGTGGCTGGCCCCTGTCCCTGATGCTGCCCCAACCTGGAGCACGCTGCCTAGGGCATCGTTATCTGAAATAATTCAGAACACTTCAGGATGCTTCCAAAAAAGTAGACGTGTATAGAATCAGCCTTCCCTTCCTGTAACACTGCATTTGTTTGCTTTTGCGTCACTGTAAAGAAATACTTGAGCTGGGTAATTGATAAAGAATGAGGTGTAATTGGCTCACAGCTCTGCAGGCTGCACAAGCTCGGCACCTGCATCTTCTCAGCTTCTGGGGAGGTCTCAGGGAGCTTCCAGTCATGGTGGAAGGCAGCGGGAGCCTGAGTCAGGTGGTGAGAGAGGGAGCGAGAGAGAAGGGGGCGGTCCTGGACTCGGACAGCCAGATCTCAAGTGAACTTACTGAGCGAGAACTCACTCATCACCGAAGGGATGGCGCTGAGCCGTTCATGAGGGGTCACCCTGTGATTTGATCACCTCCGGCACTGGGAATCACATTTCAACATGAGATTTGGAGGGGACATGAGGGGACAGAAGTCCCACCCATATCAAATGTCCCCAGAAATGTACCAAGTTCTTGAGATAAGCCATCACCAGCTAATAGCAATGTGTCCCTTTCATGACTGCACGTTTTAAATGAGTTTGCGCATGATGTCATAGACAATTTTTTAAAAATTAAATCGTGAGAACCACAGGGTCAGACACACGTGGATGGACAACAGATGCCCTAGAAAGCATCCATCAGTCCTGGGCTCACAATGTTCCCAGCAAGCGCATCATCGTTGAAAGAACAGACAACCCTGTTACAGCCACATCTTTCACACTTACCTGCCACCAATATAAGCCAGCCCTCAGGACGTCTCTCAGCAAGACGTGGTGGTAGGAGTTGGCGTCCATGTCAGGACGCTTGAGGGTATGAGGACGCACCTGGGTGCCTCCATGCCTGTGGGGTCCATGCGCCTTCATCTTCACACACCCACCACAGCCATCACTCACACATGGCTCCCGAACCAGGGACTCTTTGCCTGGGCTCCTGCTCTGCTCCTTCCTCTGGGAGGCCACACTTCACTACATGTGTCACGGCGCTTCTGCTCAAACTTCACAAAGTGTGCCATGGCATCCCCACTCACACTTGACTACATGTGCCATGGCACTTCTGCTGAGACTTCACTAAGTGTGCCACAGCGTCCCTGTTGACACTTCACTACATGCGCCACAGCACTTCTGCTCAAACTTCACTAAGTGTGCCACGACGTCCCTGCTCAGACTTCACTACATGTGCCACAGTGCCTCTGCTCACACTTCACCATGTGTGCCATGGCACTTCTGCTCACGCTTCACTGTGTGCCATAGTGCCCTGCTGACACTTCACTACGTGTGTCACGATACTTCTGCTCATGCTTCATGTGTGCCACAGTGCCCCGCTCATGCTTCACTACATGTGCCACAGCACTTCTGCTCACACTTCACTACGTGTGCCACATTGCCCCTGCTCACACTTCGCTATGTATGCCACGGTGCTTCTGCTCACGCTTCACTACATGTGCCACGGTGCCTCTGCTCATGTTTCACTATGTGTGCCACAGTGCCCCTGCTCACACTTCACTATGTGTGCCACAGTGCCCCTGCTCACACTTCACTATGTGTGCCATGGTGCCTCTGCTCATGCTTCACTACGTGTGCCATGGTGCCCCTGCTCATGCTTCACTACGTGTGCCACATTGCCCCTGCTCACGCTTCACTATGTGTGCCACGGTGCTTCTGCTCACGCTTCACTACGTGTGCCACGGTGCCCCTGCTCACACTTCACTATGTGTGCCACGGTGCTTCTGCTCATGCTTCACTACATGTGCCATGGTGCCCCTGCTCACGCTTCACTACGTGTGCCACAGTGCCCCTGCTCACACTTCACTATGTGTGCCATGGTGCCTCTGCTCATGCTTCACCACGTGCCATGGCACCCCTGCTTACACTTCACCACATGTGCCACAGCGCCTCTGCACATGCTTTGCTACAGGTGCCACTGTACCCTCACACATGCATCATCCATCATGTGTGTCTCAGATTAGTCATTCCCAGGTTAGATGACAAGAGCTTCCCGAGATACAAGGTCGCTTTTTTTAAGAAATACAGAAATTATTTTCTAAAAGGAGAGTATTTCTGCAAGGTCACCCTGCAAGAGAGCGAAGCAGCCCCCAGCAGACCCATGGTTTAGATGTTGCTCTTCAGCTGCCGAGTGTCCCATTCCACACACGTGTGTGTGAGCAAGTGAATTTCTGAAGCAGGTGTGGGTGTGAGTGAGTGAATTTCTGAAGCAGGTGTGGGTGTGAGCAGGTGAATTTCTGAAGCAGGTGTGGATGTGAACAGGTAAATTTCTGGAGCAGGTGCGGGTGTGAGGGGGTGAGTTTCCGGAGCAGGTGCCAGTGTGAGCGGGTGAGTTTCTGGAGCAGGTGCGGGTGTGAGTGGGTGAATTTCTGAAGCAGGTGCCAGTGTGAATGGGTGAGTGTCTGGAGCAGGTGTGGATATGAGCAGGTAAATTTCTGGAGCAGGTTCCAGTGTGAGCAGGTGAGTTTCTGGAGCAGGTGTGGGTGTGAGCGGGCGAGTTTCTGAAGCAGGTGCCAGTGTGAACAAGTGAGTGTCTGGAGCAGGTGTGGATGTGAGCAGGTAAATTTCTGGAGCAGGTTCCAGTGTGAACGAGTGAGTTTCTGGAGCAGGTGCGGGTGTGAATGGGTGAGTTTTTGAAGCAGGTGCTGGTGTGAGCAGGTGAGTTTCTGAAGCAGGTGTGGGTGTGAGCGGGTGAGTTTCTGAATCAGGTGCAGGTGTGAGTGGGTGAGTTTCTGAAGCAGGTGCAGGTGCGAAAGGGTGAGTTTCTGAAGCAGGTGCTGGTGTGAGAGGGTGAGTTTCTGAAGCAGGTGCGGGTGTGAACGGGTGAGTTTCTGAAGCCAGTGCTGGTGTGAGCGGGTGAGTTTCTGAAGCAGGTGCGGGTGTTAGAGGGTGAGTTTCTGAAGCAGGTGCAGGTGTGAGAGGGTGAGTTTCTGAAGCAGGTGGAGATGTGAGCGGGTGAGTTTCTGAAGCAGGTGCAGGTGTGAGCAGGTGAGTTTCTGAAGCAGGTGCAGGTGTTAGAGGGTGAGTTTCTGAAGCAGGCTGGCTCATCTTGAAAGCTCTGTCTTGTGAACATCATAACTGAACAGTTAGTGTTTGAGTTTTTATTTTTGTAGTGATTCTTATACCACAAAAATGTGGCTTTTTCTATTTTTTTTCCTTTAGTTCTCAGAGCTCACCAGCACTGGTTTGGAAGCAACAGAAGCTAGCATTTTTCCAGTAAAATCACCCAGAATTCTGTCTAATGCCAGTGCTTTCTTGCCATGAGAATTTACAGTCATGTTACTACACAGACTGTATTTGTGTAGTCAGCATGTCCTGAGGGTCTTCTCTGTCCCGGGCACTGCCCGGGTGTCGCAGATGTAAGGGAGGAAATGAGCAAGGCGCACCCACAGCTGGGAGTGGACAGTTGAGGGACATCTCGATGGGGTCACAGGCAGGGGCGGAAAGGAGTGGCTGGGAGGGCAGCTGAGCGGTGGGGAGGGGGCAGAGTCAGGCCCCGCCCACCAGGCCCCGCCCACCTGGGCTGTGACCCTGGAGGAGTGTCTTCTTGTCCCCAGGCCCCTGCTGCTCAGGAGCCAGGCTGCCTCCAGGAGGGTTTGGTGCGCGAGGG